GGGGGGTGTTTTCCCCTTCTGTGCCCTTAAAAGGAGGGGGGCTTTCACCCCCCAAAATCCCCACGCCCTGATGGGTTGGCTGGGGAATTCTGGGAGTTGAAGTCCACTCATCTTAAAGTGGCCAAGTTGGGACAACACCGCCCTAGGAGATTCCATCCGCCCATCTGTGACAGTGGAGCACTGCTAAGAGTCCTGGCCATAGCAAGTGTGACAGGAAGCAGCTTGATGGCAGCATTCTCTGCGAAAAGAGCCCCTCCTCGGAAACCGCTGGCCCTCCAAGGCAAAGGTGGTTCCCCCTCTCATGGTCTTCTGGAGACTTGTAAAAACCTTGGGAATTGATCCATGCAGAGCCACTGAGACCAGAAATGGTTTCACTGATGTGTACAGTATTGCAGCATGTTGTACAATACTGTATTTTGTGACGATACAGTTATATGTTGTACATTCCCTAGGGTGGCAGTCAGTTGAAGGCAATAATAAACCCAACCAGTCAGTCGGAAGCATTTTGAAGAAGTATATGCACAAACCCCAGTGTGTGCTTTGAGCCAAATTCGGCACTTAGAAAATAGGCTACTTGGACCCACATTGAATCAGAGACGTTGGCTCAGGGCCAGGATCTAGTTTCATGTTTTTTATGAGAAAATAAAAAATGGCTATTATATGTTATTAATATAATATAATATAATATAATATAATAATATATTTAAGCTATTATACTATAATACTGTAATAGAATGGCACTTCAGATATTCTGAAGTGATGAATTTCCCCAGTTTTATACATGTAAAGGTAAATATTTTGGAGGTATGCTGCTTTAAATTTTATATTTGAAAAAGGAATGTCCTTGTAACCGTTTCCTTTTGCGGGCAGAATTAGGGACACGTTTAGGCGCCCCTCTGAGGAGTTAAACCGCCAGATTTCAGACAAATTGTCTTGGCGGCGGGATATGTGCCTGCAAAGGGAGATTTTACACAGTTGGGGTAGTAACAAAAGGATTAATTAATCCCCCCTTTTCTTTGGTGGGAAATGTCTATTCAAATAACAGGGAAGATATTTTATTTGATAAGGACCTGACTGAAATATAAAACTAGAGATCATTTCAAGCTAGGTGTAATTGAATTCCTAACAGACCTTGGAAACAGAGGGGAGAGCACTTAAGGGAGGAAACGGGGCTGTTGCAGAAGACAGTCTTGAGACCAAGGACAAGGGGAGGGAGGCGTGAGAAAGAGATTCAGAGTAACTCTGCCTTAATTACACAAGGTAGAAGTTGTATGGGAGAATTACTTTGATAGGCTTTAAGATTCTGTGGTGTTGCCCTACTAGCGATAAAGATCTTTCCAGAAATCCCAGTGATTCTTGTTTCCTGAGTTGGACGCTCGGCTCTTCTAAAATCTGATATAATTTATGTTTTAAAGTCGTATTTAGTCTGGCTGATTTATTTTTATCTATGCAGTGTGGTGATTAAACTGCTGCATTAGGACTGGGGAGATTCAGGTTTGAATCTATGCTCAGCCATGGAAATTTTCTGGGTGACTTTCAGCCAATCTCACAACCCATCCTTCTTCCCAGGAATATTTTTGTGGGGAATAATTGGGAGAAGGAGTACATTGCTTTGAGTCCCTGAAGGGAAGACAGGATATAAATCCAGTGAGTAAATAAATGAGAATATGCCTATAGCTTTATTGTTTTGAATCTAATTAAATGGTATATTCAGACAAAGAATCAAATCCCTCCCCCAAGGTCTGATTGCAGAGACACTGATGTCCTAGGACAGTGTTTCTCAACCTTGACAACTTTTAAGATGCGAGGACTTCAACTCCCAGAAT